GGTGTATGATGAGTGGTGTATGATGAGTGGTGTATGATGAGTGGTGTATGATGAGTGGTGTATGATGAGTGGTGTATGATGAGTGGTGTATGATGAGTGGTGGTTGAACAGCTGTTGAATGTCCGTAACACGGAAGTTTTGCACACTAAACTTCCTTTGATCATACAGCAGTTGAAGTTCGGCCTCCATGATGCTGTCCTGCTCGAACAGAGCGAAGCCGATGCCGCCCAGGACTTTTGTACCGAACCCATGACGCATTGGCGACTGGAAGTCATCCAAGGGATCGCGCCAGGCGGCCTTCAACCAGTTGAACACAATCATTGGCGCGCCATTCGCATCCGAGAAGCGCCAACCGATGGATGCTATACTGGGCTGTTCCTATAGGCCTCAACCACGACCCACAAGCCGTGAGCCAGGGGACTGTGCGCTTCTGGCCGCGGCATCGTGACGCATCCATGACGCATTCGCCAGTGGCACACTGACCTCTGGCAAGCAAAATCTACGGCGTGATGAATTTCCTCGAACAGGGGATTTATGGTCATTGGGCGTTCTTTTTTTGGAGGGTATAAAAGCCTGTCAGCAGGAGACTGATCGTAACCTATCCCCAGCAATCCGTGAGAGTTTGACGTTGATTCGGACAGTGTTGCAGCTTCGCCCTGCCCGAGTGATGGAAGTGATCCATCTGTCCGCGCAGAGGTTGTGGTCGCTTCGGACGCTGCGCTCGAAGTTCCCTTCGAAGGCACAGGTGGGTTCCTCATTGTTTGAATGGTTTGATGGAGCTGAAGAATGTCGCGAAGCCTTCGTATCCAACATGCCCAGATCACTTTACATCTTGTTCACCCCCGGAAGATTGCGCAGTTAGAACTCATTCAACTCATCTTTGCGCTCGCCACAAGACCACACCGGTTCCGCGTTGATGGCACTGATCCGAGGCAGATCGGACTCCGATGACCTTGAGCGAATGTCACAAATTGTGCGTGTCCTGCTCTTTGGTCTCCAGTGCTGGATGTTTTTCGAATGGATCCCATCGAAAAGTAACTGGGCTGACGCTATCAGCCATCTCGGTTTCCAGGATCCATGGCACGTGAAGCACGGGTTTTCCCAGTCAATATAGGCCTTTTTCCCGTTCATCCTATGGCAACTGCCAGTTGCCGGCCTCGTTCACGTTGCCGAATTCTTGTATAAGTGCGTTGGGAGATTCAAGTGCCTTGGGTGATATCTGGGGGATGATGCCCGGCCAGGGGTGACCTGGCAGGGAATCGACTGGTAGGGAAGTGATCCCTATCTACTCAACGCAATAGCCTGTACGACGTACAAGCTTCACACCCGACCAGGTCTTGCGCAAAAGTGCGGAGTGCGCTTCACAGGATAGGATCCTAACAGCCTAGGAATGTATTACTGTCTCAGGTCTGGCAGGCTTAGGGTGGACAGTGGTCATTCCTCAGAGTGATTAGAACCTGATACCATTTTGGCTCAAGTGTGATCCAAACTGGCAGGTTCTTCTTGGCAGTGCCCCCCTGAGTGCAGGGGGGCGCGGGTGATATTTGGGGTGACCAGATGATGCCCGGCCAGGGGTGACCTGGCAGGGAATTGGTAGGGAAGTGATCCCCACCTACCCAACGCAAATAGCCTGTACGACATACAAGCTTCGGACCCGACCAGGTCTTGCGAAAAAGTGCGGAGTGTGCTTCACAGGATAGGATCCTAACAGTCTAGGAATGCAGATTTAAAGGATTTGACTTGAGGATTTCATAACGCAAATAATCTAACGTTCTGCGCGATGTTCCACTCTTCTCGCCATTTGCATTTGTTGGCCCAAGCTGTGTGACAGTCTCCAATCAACTGGTTCAAAAAATACTTTATCCTCGAGTATTTCTTTTTGAGTGTCGGGTATAGAAGGGCTTGGAGATAAACCGACTTACACAGACAATATCAAACTCACCAGTTCTTTCCCTATGTCTTACATGCCACAATGCAATCTTCCCGGGAATTTCCTTCACGACCTTCAGGCCTTTTAAGAGGGATATGAACGACCTTCATTTCAAGCCTGTTCCATTCAAGTGGACGCGATCCATCCAGGACAAGGACATCAGTTTCAATGTAGCCAGCTTGGGCGTTTTTATCGTTCCAAGGGGAGATCGCACATCCGAGGATTGGTGAATATGCGCAGGTGCTGTGTTGGAACGGGAGGGCCCATTGCCGCTCACCGCAGGTGACGCCGTGCGAAAAAAGAAGGGGACGCGGCGAGGGTTGCGGGAGCAGAGCCTTGTTGAGGTCCGAGGCGAAGATGGGTCTTCTTGCGATACTTCTCCAGTTTCCGCCAACCATGTTGTTTTTTGGGGGATCCGTTTCCTTTCCCCAGCTCACCAAAGGCTGATGGGTATCATGAGTATTTGTCATCAGAGTCAATTTTCGAAGCATGGGTCAAACCTCAACCTGTCCAGGCTGTTGCACGGCCTGCCTCAAAAGACTTTGGCGTCATGGACAGTGTGATGCAGTGATGCACCATGTTTTGCTCGAAGTACATCTAAACTGAAGGTAGCAACAACATGCAACACCAGCACTATCACTACCAAACACCGAACAGGAACCACAAGGAACAGCGAGTCGCCTTCATCATCTTCATCCAGCCATTTCGCAGCATGATCCCGTCCCCGTCAGACCACGTCGACCACCCCAAACGGCCCCGGCAGCACACCCGACGGCCCGAGAGAAGGGCGGACGTGGAACCGATCGGAGCATGACGAAACACCGAACAGGAACGTCCCGCGGAACAGAGGGTCGCGTCGCCATCGATTTTGCCACGAGTCGAGCTCGCCGATTTCCGTCCTCCGATTTCTCGTGCCATGGGGCAATGTGGAAGTTGCAAGAACTGCGTCGAGGGATGTTTACCCACCTCATGGAGGATGCAGCAATACCAGAGACCCTTGGCCTTTGTTGGTGTGATCACTTTGATGACTTTCTGGGGCGTTCTGAAGTTTCAACTTGAGGCCTCCTCGTTCCTGGATGGCGTTCATGCAAGACCGGTCCTAGGAATAGGTTCTGGTTCCTCTTAGACCTTAAAAGCGGTTCTTGGACATTTGATGACCATCCAAAGCGTTGGGTGCACAGCCGCTGCTGGGAGAAATGTTTCTCCAACCCCCCTTGCGCCATTACAGCTTCGGACAGGAGCACAAACCAAAGGTTAAAATCTCGTTCCGAGTTCGAAAACTCCTTGCCAAGCCAGTCAAGCTCTCCTTTTTTTCCTATCCAGGGAAGAACATATGACATTTGACTGGCCTAAATGATCATCCTTCAGCCACTGTTGACCAGCTGAGACTCGCCGACCGGTTTGCGGCGCCGAGGTCAGCGGGAAGATTTTGAGAACCGCGCCGCTCGACGAGGGGGATGGGGGTAAAGGGGGGGAAAGGGGGGTTGGGTGGGACCTCACGAAGCACCGGTTGGGCCGGGACTTTCAGAAATTCGTTTGCTTTGCTCAGTGATGCCAGTGATTCCACGTGCTAGAGGTGGGGACAGGACACCTCCTCGAACGTGTCCGTGGTAGTGGGTTGGGCGCCTTGAGCACCGCACTTCCGAACCTGCTTGAGCTGCATGTGAGAGGTCTCGTGCCCGGGTGACCTGCTTCTTCACATGGGGTGGCCAGTTGCAGCACCTGCAAAGCGGATAGGTCCCTCAAGAGGGTCACTGGACATGTTGGACATGTTGTTGTTCCGTTTCTCAACAGTCACCCCGTCGTTGATGACTCTTATTGAAGTTGGAGCGTTCAAGCGAACCTTTAATTGATTGGAGGAACTGTGTGACCCGGACCCGTGAAAAGTGGAGTATATGTTTGCTCCAAGCTGGAAGGTGAAGTTCCTTGAAACTGTCCCGTTGCTGGCCAACCAACTGCCCCGGGCTGACTTGCCCACCTTGGCAGCTGCATTGGTGGAGAAGAGGTGGGTCTACACCGCTATGCCCATTTGTGCCCTACTAGCAGGGAAGCCTTCATGCCGCTGCCCGAACGGCTCGGTTTTGAACGGCTCTGGGCCGTGCGTGTCGACCGAGTTCGGCCGATGCCGCAGGTGGAAACCCGGCGAGTTCCTCGCGAAGCAGGGCGACGTGGGCCGTGAGCTGAATATTTTGAAGAGCGGGACCTGCGCCGTGCTGAGGAAGAGCAGAGCCCTGGCAGAGTCCGCCCGCGTTCGTGCGTTCGTATGTCTTCCTTTTTTGCTGGAGGTTTCTGTTTCTTGCCATGATTTTACTGAGCTTGAAGAGGAGGTATATAACATACATGCGGATTCCCTGACCCCGACTGGCTGTGGATTTCACTTGGCAGAATCCAATGTGTTTCACAAAATAGGAGAACCTAGCAGGATTTGGAGGACGAGACGTGTCCCTATGGAAATCTCCAACACTTCCTGCAGCATGCAGGGTTCATAGAGTTTGTTCTGGCACGCGAACATCCATGTGAGCAGCCTCAATATTTGTTTTTGTTTCCATCGATTTTCAATCGCCATGAATTAGGGTTCCCTCCTTCCTTTTGCAAGATTCCATACTTTCTTGGCGGCACACTGCAACTGCAAATGCAGCGATTCGTAGTGTTTCACCGTCAGATTGAACCGAGTGAATGAGGTTGACCCCTTCGATGGACGGGGGTGTTCCCGGTCAAGCGGTCAAGCGGACGTGTTCCTCTCGCTCCGAGGTGATGATGACACTTCTCCACGAGAGGAAAGGAACGAGGCCAGGGCCAGGGTGGAGAGTGCCAGGTGACCAGTGCAGCATACTACAGCTCCCCTGAGTGTCATCAAAGAAGCTGCTCCAATCGCCGATTGAGTTCATGTTCTGGGTCTTCACTTTGGATATGTATTTCTTGGCAGTGATATCACACAAACTCTCACACTAGACTCTAGACCATTCTAGACCTAGAATGGGCATGACATGTGGGGGGGGGGTAACTTGGTTTGGAGCACCGACTCAAGTTCATTGGATGGTTCTTATGGAGCACTGCTTTTCTCTACCCTTTTTCAACCAATTGTGTTGGGCCACCACGCCCCAAAAAGTGATGTCATCTGCCAGCCAGTCTTAGGAGCAGCGCATCGCGACCTTGCACATGGGTGACTGGAGTGGTGGCCAAGCCTTGGTCACATGGCAAGAAGGGAGTGCTTTTGTTTCTTTTTCATCGGCCAGGAAGCCAACTTGCAAGGCAGAACCGATCTAATCATCAGAGGTTTTCCAAAATGAGAGCCTGCGGATATCTTCAGATCCATGGGACTTGGACATTCCCGCATTCCCCATCTCTCCCTCCCCTTCTCTGGCGCTCTCCATCTCCGAGGCGGAGACCCGCACCTTCCGCGCCTCGGTGGTGGCCGAGGAGCCGGGCGTGGTGACGCTCTCCATCTCACGTCGCCCGGCCGTGAAGGGAGGGGGGCACCGGGCAGGCTCCGCTCTCCTGAGAAACGCATCGCACAACAGCCCACATCGACCAAACATCGTCCGCATCCATTGGCACCAAATATTGGCTTGTCAAGCTGCTTGAACACCGCAGTGCAAACATCCCACCCAGAAAGCATCCAACATACCAACATAACATAACATAACAACCCTCCTACACCACGGCATGGCATGACTCATCCTGTTCCACGCTGCATACGTTCCACGACCGCACAATCACGGACCTCGGCTCTCCAAACGACATGGTCTCCTCCACCCGGTCCGTCTCAACCGCTGGGGATCCACAGGTGAAGGCTTCGAGGCGCTGGGGCTCCATCAGCGTCTCCACTTCCCTCGGCGCAACGCGATGTACGAAGGCAGTGGTTGATTTGGTGGTGGTGTTGAGCGGTGTTGAGGAAGATGGGGCGGGCCGATTGGCCGGGGAAGAATTCCATAGATTTTCATCATGCAGACGGTGTTTTTTGTTTTTTTTTCTATAGACCTATTTTTGGTAGCAAGGAAAAGGCACCTTTCTGCAATTCAAACCAGGACCCGGCATCCTAGTTGTTGTGGTTTAGGTTGATTGAAATGACGCCTAGGCTCAAAGAAAAATGTTGCGGACTTTTCCCGATACCCTCCTACTCTATACATTTTCCTTAAAAGAATGACAGCTACTTTGGGCTTCATAGTCTATGTTTCAAAGGCATGTTCGCGCCCCTGTCACTCCTGAGCCCCTGGCTGACCTGCCTTGGCCTTTCCTTGGGGCCCAGCTGCTTTCTGTGGCCAGGGACCCCCACATCGATCTGGCTCTCAAGGGCTGCAAGGACTTCACAAACGTTCCCCCGCCCCTTTTCAACCCTGTAGATGACCTCGTTCTTGCACGGGGATGTTCAAAGATGTTCGGTTCGCTGCCATCGTTGCGGTTGGCCCGTTTGGAGGCCGTGCCAAGAAGGCAGGTAATGTGGTGAAGCGTATGCCTGGCCTGGAGCACGTCGCAGGGAAGCTGACCGAGGATGAGGTCTCCTTCATTGTTAGGCCGACCATTGCCTCAACTCAAGAACGGCGGCACAAAGCAAGGGATTGGGATGGGAATGCTTCCCACTTGCTCCCTTCCAAGACAAACCAGGGTTTCAATATTCGCGACCTCAGAACCAGTTGTTTGGAGAGGACCTGTTTGATCAATCTTTCCCGAAACATAGTGCTAGACCCCATCCACGTGCGGGCTGATATATTCAACTCGATCGACAAAGGAGCCTGTTTGTTTTTCAGTGCATTTCCTGCAAATCGAAGTCACATTGAATTCAGTGCATGGAATGGGACAGCGCGTTTGTCACAGGTCCCTCAGTCGAAACGCCAACCTGCGGTCCGCCATGGACATGGCCAAGAGCCGCTGATCTCCGTGGGACTCGGGACCGGGTCGACCGGTTGGTGGAGGCCATGGGACGGTGACTCCGGGGTGGCGCCAGGGTCAAAACCAATCGAGATAGTCTCAAGGCAGGATGGCTCCAGGTGGATAGACTATGATAGACTGTTCTTCCTGTGCACTAACTGCTTTCTTTACGTTCGCTTCACAGCTGAGGTCAAGACCTCTTGCGGGAGCTGGCCACCAAAGCCACCCGCCTCCGTGCGCCAATGAAGCAGATTGTGGTGGAAGGCACAATGGATGCATGGCAATGCATGGCGCAAAGAACCATGGATTGAATGAATATGGATAGCACACATATATTAACAATGGATCAATATAGTAGTTTTTTGTTGCTGATATTCTTTCCATTTACCTTGTGTACTGGGCTCCACAAACAGATTCGCGCAAAGACTCAATGACATTTCAGATTGATGCTCTTGTATGAAGAGATAGTGCATGATCGGAGTGGTCGAGTGGTCGTAGAGACCAGTCGGGATCGTGCGGACACTATATATGCTACAAAAACAAGATGGCTTCCTCAACAGATCGTGAGTCCAGATCTGCATGGCCAAGTTCAGTCGTGTTCTCGCACAACACCTGGACTTATGCAGCATGATGTTGCAGCTCTTGCTCCACTGAATCAGTGTCACAGCAACCATCTTCCCATTCGGTCCAGGTGGCAGCGCCGCTGAGGAGGGCCGACTGAGTGAAGGGCGCAAGCTGCGGGGGTCGAAGCCACAGTCCCCACCGGAGCGACATGTTCTTCTCGGCATTATTGTTATGTTGCATTGGTGTCGCCTGTCATGTTGCATTGGTAGTACACCGCTTTTGTCTTCCATTGCTGGCTCAACAGCTGCATATGATAAGAGGTAAGGCTTTTATTGTTTTTGATGTGTGTGTCTTTGTGCGACGCGTGTTTGGCCAGCGCATCCACTGCATCCACGCTTCCTTCCGCTTCAACACCCCCAAGCGCTGCAACCTGTGACCTTCAACACCCCCGAAGAGACATCACGGCGCCGGTTTTAGAGTTTAGAGGTTCAAAAAAGGCCGTCCTGTTCGTTTGGAAACCGGTTGGTCGAGGACTTCTTCGTGGTTTGCAGTGGGATGGCAGAGATCCTCCCGTCCAACCTGAGGGGCAGCCGACGAGGCCAAGCTTAGCAGGAGATCGTGCATGGTGCAATGAGAGATACATCATGATACATACTACATTAGCACTAGGAGGCAGAGAACATCAGAGAACAATGATCAAATTGAAGAATGTATTGCACGCTTTTGTGGATGAGGGCCACGCATCAAAACACCTCTTCGATCGTGCAAGACCCATGGTGCGCCGCGGTGCGCCCGAAGAGAGTTGGCCGTAGGTTGACTGTGTCATAGTCTGTTGCCCGAGCCAGGCCTGTAGTCGAGAACATATGCGAAATCAACAAACTTATTCCAGGGTGTTGAATTTGTTTTGATCAAGAGAAATGCCTGCCTGTGTGTGAATCATGGAATGGTTTGGTGCAGCACCTTCTTAGACATTGACATGTAGGAGTTGGGACATCTCAACGTAATGAACACCTTAAAGCTCGTGTAGGCACATCCTGGCTTGCGTGTTCGGCTATGGTGATAGCCTTCCATTTGTTTGTTTGGGAGGTTCTGGAGCAGAGGAGATGGTTGATGCCACCTCCCTTTCGAACAAGTTGATCAAGCCTCTTTGGCTCAAATCACTAGTTGAAGTGATATGTGGACATCTAGCCAATGAGTCAGTAGAGGTCCATCCACCCTTCAAAGTGTTTGTCCCCAGCAAATTGACAGGCGAGTAGCCAAGTCTTAGATCGTCGGTGGTGCTCCAAAGAACACCACGAGCCATTTAATGGATCGCTACACCAATGACGAGCATCTCTCTCTCTCTCTACTCTTTTTTTAATTTGCTTGTGTTTGGTTGCTATGTGCCACTTGTATCAGCCTCTGAACACTTGCTCTTTTGCATCTAAGGAGAGCTGCTATCGTTCAGGAGATGGCTGGGGCAAGGGAGGGCTTGCCAGAAGTGTAGAAGGGGTTTTGCTGGCCCTTCTGTAGAAGACTCGACGCTAAGCGGTGAGTGACTCCAAGCACAGCTATGCTGCAAGGATTCAACCAGGGTCTCTTTTCCACCGCGGTGGTGTGACTGTGCAAAGGACCTCCTTCGTGCAGATCATGGCACGCCTGTCCTTAATGGGTCCAAAGGAGGTCTGGGACCCAGCAGTTTGTGGATGACGGGACGGCCCGAATCTTGAGCCAAGCCTTGCGGATAGGCGAATCCCGTCTCCTTATTCAGATCAACCAGGGGCGGGCCATCCTTGGCGCAAAACAAAACCCACCACTCTAGTGCACTATTTGAGCTTTCCATTTCATGGAGAAACTAAATCTGTCCTCCCTCGAAAATACTCTGAAACCAACATGCCCGCTTTGTGTCACAATCCTTTATTTCATTTTCAGCCCGAGCCTCTAACACGCCCCAGCCGTTGCTAAGCCCATGATGCAGTCTTGCTGCATGCGGTGACACACACCGGTGCGACCGAGGCTGTCCTTTCGCGCTGGTTCGGTGCGTCCGTCGTCCTAGGCCTCGGGCGGCGGAAGAAAGGAGGCTCGATGGTCTACTTAGACTCAGGCCGGGCTCAGCGGCTCGGGAGGTCCGGAGGGATTTTCAGGCTTCCTTTGGAAGCCCTTTGAAGTCAAGCGAACCAAACGGAGCGCGTGAAAGTAAGCCACGTTGTGGTGCGCTACCTCTGCTGGTTTGTTGAAGCTGGGCAGAAGGCCATTGATCGATCTCTGCGTTTCGACCATGGCGACCAAAACCCCTCCCACTCATCAGTCCACGCCATGCCGCTGCGAGACATGGGGCTTCATGACCAGGTTCGTCACGTGCCCCCAGCTGCAAAAATTGCTTGATATACAGCTTCGGGGGTGTGGCAGTCCCGCCGAAGAACAGACAGGGGCATAGACTGTCAGCATCGTTCTCCGACCCTTTTCAGACTGGGGGCGACCTGCGACCTCTGGGTCTGGGGTTCCTGGAGGAAGCGATGCCGGAAGCGTGCCTTGTCGCCTGACCCGACGGCTGCGTGCCTTTTCGTCCCCGAAATCTGGATGCGGCGAGGTCTGGAAGAGACCGTGACCAAGCAGCTCTCCAGACCCAAAGAGGTGCGGTGGTCTTTTCTCTTTTCTTGTGGTTTTTGAGGTGATGTTTTTTATATGATATTTTTGATGCATACTGGACCCCCGTCCCGGTGCAGCAACCACTGATCCGCTTTGAATGGTGAGTAGTTATGAGTTGATCACACAGGTACTGCAGAGCAAAGTTTCAATTTGAGTCCATGCGGATGCATGTCGAAGTGCCACTGTGGCGTCGCAGCGGAGCTTGAGGCAGCTACTCACCCAAGACTGAAAACCTTTTGGGACTCTTCCTGACCCCCCCCCTGCACAAAGCCAAAGACTAGGGAAGACGGCTGAGCCCATCCGAGTCTGCTCCCCCAGGAGGATTCAGTTTGCACAGCAACCGCCACACCCCGGCCTTTGGTTCTTTCGGTTCTGAGATGAAACACTTCTCTCCTCCAACGCATGCCCTGTGCGGCGCGGAAAAAACCCTTCCGGACGACTCACGCCTTGCGCGAGGACATGAAGCGCTTCCGCATCCAGACGATGCACGTCTCGGGGGAGCAGCTGCTTTATGTGGGTGAACAGGTGCGAGAGATCCCGCGGCCGTCTCGTGACCTGGCAATCAGGTGCACGGGGGGCCCCGTCTGGATGGGGTGTTTTTTTTTCTTCCATTTCTTTGAATCTCCTTTGGAGAGGGAAAGTTGGAGAGTCTCCTACAGAGATCATGTTTTTCTTTATTATTCTATTTTTTGCGTGCACTTAATGACTTCCTCTGGATTGCGGGTCGATCTCACTCCTTAGAATCCGTGGCTGCACTTTTGGAGAAATAGCAGCATGCAGGTTCCATAGAAACACATGCCATGGAACAAACGTCCTATATGATACATCCATCCACTTGCAATATGGCTTGAACCCTTCACTTTGAGGAGATGTATGCCTTTTGACCCTCAAGAGCAGGCTGGTTCTCCCTGGAATGTTCCGCTCCAAGCCCGCGGATTCCGCGGCGGATTCCGCCTTCGATGCTCCGCGTCGACTGGTTCAGCTCGACTGAGGCTTGGGGCTCCTGGCTTTTAAAGAGACTCAGGAGATGAATGAGGTGGGCCGCGTCCAGGCGCGTGTCTCGTGGTGGGGGGGTTTCCTCTGTTTCGTCGAGGCGTGGCGTGGGCGACTCTGCGGCGAGGCGTGGGCGTGTGGGGTTTGGAGAGTCCGTTCGAGACTCGGGGCGTTCGAGAAGGTCCAAACAATTGGTTGGGAAAGCCGCGAGTTCCGGCTCCCCGGGCTTTTCGGGGTTCCTCCGGCGGCCCAGCGTTTCCAACTACGGCGTGCCAGGCCGTATTGGACCGTTCTCGCGTGATGGTGAGCTTTCCGTCGAAGGGCACACACATCTACAGGCAGGGCATCTGAAGCAGAAACTGAGCAGAATCAGGGCAAGGACCCATTGCTGTAGAGGTATGGGAGCATTCGCAGATTGGCATTCTCCTTTTTTGCTTTTAAAGGTCTTCCTTTTTTGATCTTATTGGTCACATGCTTGTGGGAGCCAGTCACTGTCTCAGGGAACTGATGATCTGTCTGTATTGGCAACGAATCCTTTGCGTTGACAGCCTCTCCAAAACTCTCCAGAATTCTGATGCTGATGCCATAGAACAAGCCATGTGTGGCAGATGTAGACTGAACATGGCTACCCTTGGCATATCTTGTGTTGGTCAAACTGTGTCAGGTCTTGCGATTTGCAGCTGGCCAAAGGTGAGCCTTGGCATGTGTGAGTCAGAAATGACGTGGCTGAAGATGGTGCTGGCACTTGCCGCTTTTGTCGGAGGAATCGCCTCACTGCTCAATACAAAAGCTGAAGGAGGGGAAGGGGGTGGAGCTTGATTGGCTAGCGCATTTTCAGGCGCCTCATGTCGCACAACGAACAGCTTCGGTGACGAACAGTCCGGTGTGTCATCCTATCACAGTGTGTGATCCTCAAATTGTTGTTAACATGCTATTCTTTCATGACCACCAAGCAAACTTATTTAATTATTTTCAAACAGCAATTCATGGTGGACCACTTCATAGGGGAACCTTGTCCGTGTTCGCCCGACCAGTCCACCATGGGATGCGAACGACCGACACCGGGTAGGTCGTGCCCGGTCAGTGACCCACAGCCGTATGGGTGTATTGAAATAGGCCATGACTGCCCTCCAACCAAGGAGTCAGCTGTGCAGTTGAAAGCTGGAGATGTCTTTGGGGAGGCCGGGGAACGGCCCGGGCGAGCCTCATTTGTCCCCAGATAGCGAAGCTATAGGGGTTCTTACTTCTCAATGGATGGGTTCCTGATTGCGGAAATTGGCTGCTATCTGGGGTCTATGCCGGTGTAATTATTGCAAAGGTATCAACTGCACGGTAGCAATCGGTTTTTGGTCGAGTTCGAGATGGATGTATAGTATATATATATATTATATAACTACAATTTCATGCAACATTGATGTGACACGAACGTTGGAATATCTCAGGGTTGGTGCACCTAGTTTGGGGCAGTGGAGCATGGGGGTGCTTTGTAAGCTTCTTTTGGGGTGCTCTCCCCAGACGAAAGACACTAGCGACCCACTGACCCACGGTTCTTTTTTAAGGTGCGATGTTTCTGAGCCTCAACCATACTGGACCACATGACTGGCCCTACGACCGGGCGGCCTGAAAGAACTGGGCAGCCTTGTTTCTTCATATTTGTACCAGCACTCACCATCCGCCCCTCACCAATCAACGAGGATCATTAGGGTTGGGGTTGTTATTGGTGAGATCTACACATGGGGGACTCGGGGGGCGTTGCTTTCTTTTTGGACGACGGGAGATGCAGAACTGTCAACGACGGAATATTGTCATCGGTTTCATGACATTGTCATCGACTTAACACTGTCATCGGTTTTAAAACATGGTCATCGACTTCACAACCGTGTCATCGCATGACCATGTGGATCAAATTGGAGATGGGCCAAGATCATGTTTTTTGCCCTTTGGTTCTTTTAACGCATCCAAAACCATGAGCGGGCTCACGATTTCCAAGTTCCAAACGTATGTGTTACCTGGTTATTCCAAGGGAGTCTGCTTTGCACTGATATTTGCCTGGAATTGCTGAGAACTTGATCATCCAGATTAGCGAGTGTTTTGTTATTTGCAGCGAAAGTGTCCAATTTTTACAACATCTACATCATTCGACTGCCATTTGACGCCCAAAAGCCTAAGTCCTGACAGAACATGGAGTGCCGCCTCAATAGCCTTTCGGGGCCCACGGTGAGTCCTAGGTCCTAGATGTAGCAAACGACAGTTCCATACAGCTGGGATTCCGCTTGTGTGCCAAACCGGCCGACACACACACACACACATACGCGTGTACGCGCGCACGCTGCTGCGCACACGCTACGCGTCGCCTGAGCTCCGCGGGTCGGTCGAAGCCGCAGATCTCCCTGCTGTGTAACACCCGGCACTTGGCCACCTTCCGGTCGGCGGCCGAGCACGACTGCATCTTGTATGCCATCAACCGATCGGACTTCAAAGAGTGCTTTGCCAGGAGAGGAAACATGCGGTGTTTGGCATCACTTGATCAGTCTGATCAGATATAATATAGGTCTGTTTAGAGCATGGCTGGTGAGATATGGACCGTGCATTTGATTCTGCTGGCTTGGCTTTGTCAGGACAGCAGTAAAGGAGCAGATGGAGCACCTGGACAGCAGTGAAGCAGCATGGAACCTCTTTGGGCGGTAAGGCAACAGGTCTGATATACTGTATTTTAGGCTATATAGTTGCTTCCAGCATGTGAAACTTCTACGTATGGTTCATGGTTTCAGCCCAAACACCCGAAGCAGGATGACCACACTTGGTGGTCCATCGTTATTTCTTTGTAACATAGTGATTCCAGGCGACTCCTGTGTATTGCTCATGTCTCCTCTGTAGCTTCATGACATGATGCACGCCCAGAAGCAAGTGAAGCAACAAGTGTTTTTGCAGAACACCAGCTGCAGTCTTTGATCTATGGTCCAAGCCCCTTTGTACCAGTGTAAAACCACCCCAATAGTCCGAAGCTTCCTTGTGTCGGGTCCCAAAGAGCTCCCGATTTGGGCCTTGACCGCTCCAGGAAATGGTGCGCGGTCCTGGCGGAAGTGCGCATCCTTTGTTCCTTGCTCGGCTCAGAAAGGCGCGGCCGAAGCCTTCGGCGGGAACCGCAGCGCAGCTTCATTTTTGGGCATCTGATGTTCCCGCCATTTCCGCTGGGTTCGGCTGTTTTTTGTTTGGGGTCTCATCGCTTTGGTTCCTCAAGAATTGCTGAGAAGGCCCACTTTCAAGAGGGGTAAAACGAGATGTCGGAGGCAACTTCTGAATGCATAAGAACCAAAGGGCCAAGCGAGGTTGCTGAGCAAAGAGAGATGTCATTCATGAAACAAGAGAAGCCACTCTGGCCCTTTTGTCAGTTTCTAAGGCACACCTTCTCTTGTTCCTTTTCTTCTTGCAGAGACAGCCGCAGATGTTTGCGATGAAACAAGCTAGAGACCGTGGATCTTGTCAAATGAACCATTGCACCTCAGCAGTTGTATCCTCACAGCGAATCGCACTGTTCAGTGTTGATCCTTTCCTTCGCTTCAGCTTTCCCACGCCTTCACCATTTATTTGAAGAACCCCAAAAGCTGGACGACCAAAAGGGCTACACCGAAATCGCCGTCGCTTTCAAGGATCTCTTCCTTTGAGCTCCTCGCCAGGCGCGAGCTCGCGAGGAATGCCACAGGGGAGATGTCCTTCAAAGCGGGACACGTCATCCTCCAAGACGCTCGGCGAAGCTGATCGGCCCGGTTTTGCCCAGTCCCGTCTTCGCTTTCGACACGGTCACGGTTTCTTTTTTCTACCGCCACCGCGGGATGACCGGTGCATCCGGTGGCGCGGCGCACCGGTGAATCCGCAACAGTCCTAGTTCCTAGCGCGAACGGACCTGTTTGTGATCCCATCCCTCCCCTCCGATCCAGGAAGGCCGAGAGCGTCAAACGCCTCAGTGGTACATCGTGATGAGCGGAAGCGCATTGGTGTCCAAAGCCGGGCCTCTTGTCCGCACCGAACCAATGCGTCGTGTGTGCATGTGCAGGTGCATGGCCGCAGGGCCACTGGGGAGAAGGTTGAATGCACGAATCATGAATGCAGGGCTGTTTCAATGTGAATATGAACTAGTTGTCAAAGCCAGCTATGGGTTTTACCGTTGAACACTTGCAAGTAACCGTGTTTTTGAAACTCTTGAGAGACCTGTGGATCTGACAGTTGGTGCTGTTTTTTTTGACACTACCGCGATGCTCTGCAGCGTTGTCTCCTGTGCCTCAACGTTAGTTGCTATATACATATATATATATATCCATTATATAATATATAGTTATTATATTTTTACACAACCTCCGCAAGAGTTTCACTCTGTTGAATTTCATCCTGCTGGTCGAAAGGTGGAATCACTCGCTGTCCCTGGACGCAACAAAAGCCGGAACTCACTATCACACCTTTTCTAAACCCGAAAGTCACGGGAGGAGCTCTTAATTTTTCTAGGGAGCCCCTGAATGTTATCACGCCCAGCGTCCAAAACAGTCACAGGAACAGATCTGATGTTCCTGGGACCCCCTATTTTAATCTATTTTCTAGGGTCATTTGTCTTCTGATGCTTTCTACTATTGTCACTGGACACCCTACTCACAACACCCCCATTTGCACTGTTCTCGCTGCTCCAAAGCTCGCTGGCTGAGGAAACGGCTGCGGACCCTGCGGCGGGGCGACTACTTCGGAGAGCGCTCGGCGTGGCGGAAGGACCGCAGCAACCCGTCCACGGTCACAGCAGGTGGGGCCGGGCCTCGGTGGTTTTCGGACGGATCCGGAGTGGAGTGGAGGGCATAGGGCATGGACGGCCCACCAGTTGGAGAGGGGAAACACAGCCATGCGGCCATGCCCTATGTAGTGACCGGCTGGGGACAGGCAGCCAGACTTTTGGAGTCACCAGTGATCCGCCAGCTCAATGGAATTCCTTCCCTTCCTTCTGAAAGGCTGGTAGGTTGGATCATATTCCACTAGCTGTCAGCCCAGTCCCTCCAATTGTTCTTATTTGGTTGGTGGAGTCGACCGGCTCCTCCACCTAAATCCACCCAAGATCATCGTCTTCCTTTCGGTTTTTTGCCCGGCTGTTGTGTGTTCCTCTCGTTCGAAAGCCTCTTCCTCTCCCTTCTTGTTGCTCCCTTTCAGTCCGTTTCTGACCGGGTCTCGCTGAACACATTCGCTGAACTAATCAAGCCCTCAGTGTTTCGAAAGGCGCGGATAGCCTGCAGTGCCTCTGCATCGACTTGGAGCTCTTGGCCTCCTTTGGCCTGGAATCCTTCGGTGGCCTCGAACGGGTCGACCAGGCCGGGTCAGCGAAGCGCCGAACCCGACGGATGCGTCTGGGACGGTGTGGCTGGTGTGTTTGTTGCTATTACGTTTGTGGTGTTCTGTCTTCTTACAGGTTGACTATGGTTTACATTTGTTGACTACTATGGTCTATTGTTGTTATTGTTAATTATGATTCTTACTATTACGTATTATATTTTTTGGAAGAGACCGATTGGCGAACATCCTGTGCTCTATATTTGATTCCACTATCTGCCACACATATGAGTTCAACCCTTAGCAGAAGAGTTCAACTTTAGCGGCTTTAGCGGTAGCTTAAAAAACATGTCCATGGGACAAAACCAGGAAGTCACATCTTCTCCGTCGCAGGATGTATGCAGTTTGAAGCCAACTGGTTGGCAGGCCTGTGGATCCTGTGGGTAGATTGAGGTAAGTTCTTTTGTGAGTCAACCATGAGTGAGTGGTGCCATGTAAGAAGCACGTGGATCAACTGTATGGACTTTCTTGTCTATGCACATATATGACGAGAAAGCACCTGGAAATCACTTGGACATGTCAGTGTGGCGCAGACCGTGCCCCAACATCGCTTTTCGTCGAACCTCACGTGGGCTTGGTTGCTTGGGTTGAGTCCACCAGCGGACAAACCCCGATGACACTCCGATGTTTGTAATCTTTTGTGAATCAATCTAAGACCGACCTTTTTGTCCCCTTTTTGACACGGCTCCAGTCAGTGGCTACAGTAGTCTTTGCAGACCTCCCTTGGGCTTTCAGATGCATCGCATTGGCTGCCAGCAACTGCTTCCAGATGATGTCTCTCGTGAGGAGCGCTATGCTGTGGACATGACACGCTTGGTGTCCAAGAAGGTCCTTGGCGAGGGTGCCTTCGGCAAGGCGTGGAGACCGGGAGCCTTCAACATCTAGAGTTTGGGGGCCAGGACTCATCCTCCTGCAGTGGCAAGCAGACGGAGATTCATTGTTGGTTATCAGTTATCACTGATCACTATCAGTCACTATCACCAATTCCTGTAGTGATCATCCTTGCGATCGACTATTGCAGGGTGGAAGCATCTTCCGTTGCACTTTCGTTGTCTAGATTCATGCTGCAAGCCAACGAACAAGACGCAAACGATGATGGCCTGTGCCTTCACTGATGGCCTGGGGTAGGTCTTTCTGCAAGAAGATCGACAAACGGGGGAGAAGTATGCCCTGAAGCAAATCTCGAAAAGAGGCGCATCATTTTCCATCGGCCAAGTTGGCAAGGGTGTGCACCGAAACAAGAAGCTGTCGCAGTCGCACAGGAAACCAAACATGGAAACCAAGGTGTAATAAGGATCGGACTGAAAGGTTTCCATGACGATCTTTCTTCGCGGCTGCACTCTGCAGATGTCCTGTATATTTGCGCAGGCATCCGCTTGACGGGGGTCGAGCTCCACATCCGAGCCTGGTCCAGATCAAACCGCTCCTCAACCCCTCCAAAATGAGGCACACGAAAATGACTTTGGGAAACATCTTTGCGAAAAGACAATTTGTTTTCCCACATAGAGCTGTTTCCCTCGAACCTGAAAGTTTTGGCGAGGTTCGCCCCTCTTCTGGAGCTTGCATGTGCTCAGACAAGATCATACAAGCTTGCAGATGACTTTCAGGTCAACATTTCAATCACCCGCCTTCAAGTTTAGTTTAAGTTCTTCGTCCGTGAACCGCTTCGTCCGATCATCAGCGATGGAGATCCATTCGTTGGCGGAGATCAGATGTTGGCTGTTTCATGTTTTTCACTGTTGATCGGTTGCGGGTCCATGTCAAGACCCATTGCCCGAAGTCAAGTCACATCATCCAATGGTTATCCATGTTCTCTGAGCCCAGACCCATGCACACGTTCGAAGCGGGTGCTTCTTTGGCTAAGGAAATGAACGAAATCTGCACGCCATGGTGGATAGCCCTTTTATAGTACACCTGCATGCATCTTACCGAGATGCTCTTTTTGTGTGACTCGGCGCACCAGCAAACTGAGGTGGCATAGCCAAGCGAGGGGAGCATAGGTGTGCACACATAGAAGGTAGATGATTATACAGATACAATCAGAGAATATCAGATACATATTTTCCAATGGGTGTATACATGTACATAGGATATACAGTACCCAGAAGGTAGGTATATGATAATTGAGATATCTCAATTCGTTTCCACCTTCATTGCAAAACTGAAACAACACACATTGGCACCCGTACTCCATTCAGTCAACTGTGCATCATGTCAGAGTCGCGAAAAATGGCTTCAATAAAGGATGTGCGCTTGCGTCACCCCACCCTCAAACTGGCTTCGCAGGGCAAAAAGACATTCTGTAGGGGCATTCCGGCAACACCTGTGAGACCATGTAGAACGCATTTGGTCTTTTTGTTGCCAGGCTATGTTTACTTTTTGTTTATTTTTATGGGAACATCCACGAACTTTCCACACCTCAGACCTTCCAAATCATATCACAGAGCTTCATTGGTCTTTCTCTGTTCCATTCGCCGACCGCCAACCGCCTTGCACCGCCTTGCACCGCCTTGCACCGCCTTGCACCGCCTTGCAC